CGGGTCAACGGAGAAGGCATGGACTTAGACGTCACAAACAGTATATGACCTAATTGTGTTGCAAGTGCCGTAAAACTCTTACTAAAACTTTAAAAAACTAAACCCATCCCCAGAGAGCGCATGGACTCGGACAACTCCCGCACCGACTCGGTGTCCTCCGCCAGTGGCATCAGCACAGACAGCCGGAGACACGTGACCCCCGTCATAGACATGAAGCCCATCGAGTTCTGGACCGCCAACAGGTTAGTACAGAATTCAACAAAAGTTAAGGACCGCCTTGACAGACAGTCATAATATTTATTTTTTAATCCCCCCCAAAAAGACAGCAAAGAATGTTTCAAAACGTTTGCTCTAAAAGTGTTAATGGGTTACCAACGCGTACTGCAAAGCCTCCCAAAGGACCAAAACCACCACGTGCAGCACGGAAATCCTCGGGGAATTTTAGCCGAATTTGCAGTTTTTTGTATCGACTTGTGTGCGACACCACGGATATTCCTCAGTTAAAATTTCTAGTGCACGTCATAAACTGATGTATGGTCTCGAACTTTGGTGGCAATATAAACCGCCGTTTGCGCAAAATCCATAATCGAAGCAACATACCACCAAGACGAAAGCTGAGAGACTTTGATTGTGTCAGAGCTATGGCATGGCCGCAGGATGGAGTTGGGGCCCGAGAAGTTGTCATAAGGCTTGTACTTGCAGTGTCACACTCTGTCATTGTTCGCCTGAGGCAGCGCCACCAAGCCACTGGATCAGTCCAAGAACGCCCACGTGCAGGTCGACCCAAGAAAAAGACCACACAGAGTGTTTGCAAGTGGTCCTTAACTTATGTTGAAGTCTGTGGTAGTAGAGATCAAATTAATCTTTTGATTCATTCAAATGTAAGCTCTGCTGAAGTCGTTTCTGTTTTTAAACTAATAAGACGAATATTTGGAGTGATTTTCTTTTAGTCAGAACACAACGGGGTTGTGTTTTTTTTTTACTGTTGTACGTTGTACTGTATTGTAAAGCGCTCAGAGCCTGTGTACACATACCTCAGTGTCCCATTCCATTGTTTCCATTGTTTCAGGAAACAACATCATTGCATTCCGGACTCGTCCATTGACGCTCCGTTGTTCTCTCCAAAATGTCACTGAGGGTGTTTCTACTAATTGTGCCAGTGGATGTCTGGTTGAACGTTCTTCTGTTCTTTCCTGCAAGGGTGCCCCCAGATTTTCTGCTTCCTTTCTGTACTCCCCAAACCACCATCCTCTCTATAGCAGTACTGGCCTCTGCCTTCTTATCTCCGTCTTCAATCAGGCGACGAGAGAGAGAGACATTTCAGGATCTCGACCTTGTTTGGTTGAACCGTCTTGTCTTCTTCTTCTTCTTTTTCTATCCCGTGGTTGGGGCAACCGTGGGGGCACCACTACATCTGAAAACCAGCTCTCGCCATTTCTCTTCGTCCTCTGCTTTCCTCAGACTGTCACCCATCGTCTTTCCTGTTCACTCTGTAATGTTGTCCTCACATCCCCTCCTCTGACTTCCTCTCTTTCTCTTTCCTTGTACGTTTCCTTGTAGGATTGTTTTTGGCCCGACCTGTGGATCTTGTGACATGCGCATACCAGTTTAATTTTCGTCCCTTCTCTGTGGTCAGTAGATCTTCATGTTGCCCAACTGCGTTAGTGATTCTGTTCCTTACCTCAGCATTTGAAATGTGGTCTTTGTATGAGATGTCAAGGAGTCTGCCGTCCACCTCAGTCTTAAAACCGTCTACCTCCTCACCACAGGGAAAGCGTACAGCCCCGCTCCAAACGCCGGCTCCCCAGCGAGAGTGAGATAAGTCTGGAGAACTTCCAGAAAGATCTGTACGAGGTGGAGCAGGAGGAAGAGCCTTGTCTGACAGACGAGGAGAAGCTGGCGCAGTTCCAGTTGGGACAGCTACACTTTGGGCTTAGCTACGACCTCACTTCTAAGGTGAGTGAGAGAGGGAGAGGGAGAGGGAGAGAGAGAGAGAGAGAGAGAGAGAGGGAG